TATTTGGCACATACATCATACATATCAGTGTGTTCATAATCAGATCAAAGATGGCTGAATAACGGCTGTTTTTATTTTGGCCATATTACTATGACACGAAACACGTGTTTTGATGTAAATAAACAAACAATCTGTTGTATATGCCACTTGGAACTCGTGTTTGAACAATAATGACCCCCCCCCCTCCCACAGCGCCCTGCCATATTGGATATGGAAGGGTCTATGGCAAGATAATGTGCACTATGGGAGTATCATTGTTATAAGTCACTAACATCATCAAGTTTTTGTTTCGAATTTACTTAATTTTTGTGAGATAATTTAAAGCTACGACATATCTTGTAATAACCTCGATAATAATTTTGCTAATGAAGATTTATATCGTCTGATAATTGACATAATGGAATGTTCAAAATACTGATTGTATGATTGGGTCAAAATAAAATGGAAAACTTGTTTTTTTTGTTAATTGTGATTAAACCTTCAGATTAGCATAGAAATTTGACAACATTTTAACTGTTTTAGGTGATGTGTATTCCTGGGGAATGGGAAGCAGTCTACAACTTGGTACTGGAGAAGAGGATGACGAATACACACCTGTTATTGTGAAAGGAAAACAGTTAGAAACTAGAAAAGTTATAATGGTGTCTGTTGGTGGGCAGCATACAGTGTTGCTAGCTGTTGATAATTAAATGACTTTATAGAACCCCTGATGGCAGGTGATGGTATGCTCTCGTGGCAAGTGGGTACAAAATCTCGGGCTTCCACATTCCGGTAAACTTATTCAAAGGAACCAATAGTTAAACATTACAACTTTTCATTGGGTTGGTGTCAATCATTGGCACCTTCGAAGATGGCCGTGTGCTGGTTTTCTACATGCATTGGTGAACACAGCTGATTTGGGAAATAACCTTGAAGAAAACTAGGCGTTTTAAAATGAAAATGCCTGAATAACATCGTTACTGCCAGTACTTTTGCTTGACTATTTGCATATATATACTATAGGTGAAAAGTATGAACTAATGGTACCGCAAGCTCATCTGATAATCCATACAACATTTATAAGCATAAACTATCAAAACGAAAAACTCTGATACTATTAACCTGTATTGCTGGTGCTATTTTATCAGATAGTAATAATTTTAATTACTCGGAAAAGTTTTATTTTCTAGGAAATGCTAAGTATGCTATCTCAGCAGTGTGGCTTTCCTAACTTACTCGGAAATATCCTCCTGACCAAATTAGAAATTTCAAACAATCTGAACTTTGACTATTTAAAAAAGGATAGTATTCTTCCATGCCATAGAAGTTGAAAATATTTTTAAAATATGCCGCTTCATTAAATCCTTCTATATGTTCATTTTTAGATGCACAATTGTTTTTTTTTTAAGCCCCTCTTGTTAAATTTTGTGCGGCTCTAATCTCAAAAAATCTTAGATGTTGAAAAAAAATTCTGTAATCTATTTTTGTATGTTGTGATTTTACATTATAATTTTCGGTTTTCTTAATTTTCAAGTCATGTACAGTAATATTTTGTTTATAATAATGCTTGGCTTAAGCCTCTCTCTGGAATTTTGTAGTTATCTCATAAGCTCACTGCCAATTTGTAACAATTTCAACAATGTCTTGTGTACAATAACATTTTTAATACTACCAAGCTAATTTTATGTCTGATTATTTATGTATTGCTGGGTGGATCATTTTGAATGTCTTGAATTATGTCACTATTGACCATGTGACCTGGGCATGTACAATTGTTTTGTCGTGTTTTTAATTACGTTTAATCATGATTGTGATTGGTCGTAACAGGCATGATTAGAACTGTGATAACGATGGACAAAATGCCATTCAGAGTGATACATGTTCAAAGTTTGTTATAAACAAATTTACTGAAATATTTAGTCTGCTGTGTATTACATAGACCAATTCATGATTTAGGCATCTGATCTGATAAAATGTGAAGTCTGGCAATTGATTCGAAGCATGTATTAAGGCAAGTACCGATAGTCATTGGTCACTTTCTGTCACATGACTGGATTGTGGTGCAAGTTATGATTGATCACCTTCAGGTGCATGTTGTCAAATGCAAAAATGTTTGAAAGGTCCGAATGGTCCGATTCAGCAAGGGAATGTGGGGCATGGACTACAAAATCTAGGTTGAATTTGATGCGTCAATGACGCCTCAAACAAGGTGCTTTTTGATTGGTCTGACTGGTAGGTGTTGGGGATGTAAAGCCAATCAGACACAATGTTGAATGTAGCTTTGAATTGAGTGGAATACTGTTGGATTTCTTATGAAAACTCCTGTATATATTCCCACAATTTTCTCAGTGTGACTGTGCCTGAAACAAGCTTAACAGTGGTCAAGATTACTGTAAAATCTGTATTAAAAGCTGCGGCTTCTATTAAAATGGTACAATGCAGCAGAGGAGATGTGGCTTCTATTAGAGCATCTACACATATGAGAAATGATGAATTTTTGGTTCTCAATTGTTGAAAGAAAATGGGTGCGACTTCTAATACAGATTTTACGGTAGTGTAAAAGTACTAGAGATGAAGAATGCAAATCTTAAAAGGCTGTGGTCATTAAAATTTAGTAATGTACAGGAAATTTCAATCCTCTGAACTCTGTATTAGAAGCAGTGGCTTCTATTAAAATGGTATAATGGCATCACCACACGAGAAATTTTAGTTTACCAAAGAAAATGCGTGTGGGGATGCTGAATCGAATACGGATTTTATTTGGTGCTCTCTCCCCTCCAATGTTCATAATTCAAAAAAAAAAATGAATCCCACTATGGTGGTTGTTTCAATGCACCTTTGTGTACATATTGACTAAGCAGTAATACTGCATATGGCATGTAGTCAGAATGTTTAAATCTGTCATGATTTTTGGCAGTCCAGTTGAGATGAATGACCTGCTCTGCCTGTTATGTGTTGAATTTCTAGATGGAGTTATAACATTCTTGTAATCAGAAATATGGTTTTTATCTTCAAAGATGGGAAAGGTATATTAAGGGAAAATTGTTTTTATTTTGTAATAATATAGT